GTAAAATGATCAAAACTCTGGTCATTTTTTAGCAAGATGCTAACGGTCCAATCCGATTCAATGATCTATGCTAAGCTAAGCTAAAAGTGCTCCTGCTATACCCAGAGAACAACTGAATTGATTAAAAAATGGTGATTTACTCTAAAAATAGCCGTAAAATGAGCCTACTTTCAAAAAAATAAATGAATAAGTGTTCCTTTACATCCGGCCCGCTCGTCTTTGCTTCATCCTGTGAGATGACCTTGCATCTTTCTTAATGGGTTTCATATTTAACACTTGTATGAGCTTTAAATTGATTAAATTTCTGATTTCTAACTAACCGCAGCGATGCAATATACAGAGAAACTGTGAATAGATGACAGCATTTGAGTGTTATATCTAAATCGTAGGTGTTCAAGTCAGATCCTGGAGGGCCGCAGCTCTGCACAGTTTTGCTCCAACCCTATTTAAACACAGCTGATCCAAATAATAGGCTTATTTCACACGACCACCATTTTAAAGCATGAAAGCGAAGCTGCTGTGGGAAGAAACCCGGAAGTATAGGACCAGCACTGTAAACATTGCAGCAACACGCTGTGGACTCTAAACCTCCAGCTGCTGCAGAGATTTGGTGTAAACATCACTTTAATATCATTTAGTAAGTTTAATTTAAACAATTAAAAGCAGATTAGGCATCAAACAACATTACAGTCTCTTTAAGAGTATCCTTTTAGGCTTCAGTTCATGGTAGCAGGTAGGCACCGTGAGGATGCTTTACTGCTTCAGCCTACGTAACCTGGCGAGCGATAAAACCAACCCAGGCTCATTCTGTAAACGTAGTTCCGCGGACGTTTCTGGACACTGAATGATGTAGCCGGAGGTACGTATGGCTGCATTCATTTTTTAAGTGAACGCTACGGGGCGGTATGATGCCGTTCCTTTTGGCACTTATACCGGCTGACCGCTTACCTCCGTGTGGAGGGCTTTCCCGTCGCAACCGGTTTGTCCAGTTAGCTCGTCGTGTACGTCGGTGGACCTGAGACGCAGAGAGGAGCTGATGATGACGACCGGGTTCGAATTCAGGGAAGAGCAGTTCCAGAAATCGGGTAATACAAAAACAGAATCCAAAAAAATAAAGTGAACAAAATCATAACAGGGTGAGAATGAGGTGAAATCCGAAAACGTGGTAAAAATCAGGCGAGGGCTTTTGTTTTTCTCAATTGTTGGTTGGGTTTAGGGAAGTAAGCAGGTGCGCGGGTCATCCGGTAAAATTGGTTGGGTTTAGAGAAGGAGGAGAATGGGGTCAGTCGATTTGGCCGGTCGCCCTGTCAATCATTCAGCCAGTCAGACAGACGGTCGTTCGATAGCGGCCTCTGGTGGGTTTACAAGAGAACAGCACGTGCGCGACCGGCACTCACGAGAGACATGGGAAAAAGCACACACAGCGGCCTCTCGCAGATTCCCCAACACAAAAAAAAAACACCTCCCGGGACGTATTGTGCTGTCTCCAGAAACGTCCACTGGACTACGTTTTCAGAATGAGCCGGGGTTAAACCCCTACTCTCTTCAAAGGACATCCTGGAAATTTCAACAACCACAGAGAGTCAAGACCTCAGTTTAACGTCTCATTCGAAAGACGGTGCTTACTAAGCAGTATACAGTCCCCGTCACTATACTGGGGCATTAGGACCCACACAGGTTGAGCGCCCCCTGCTGGCCTCACTAACACCACTTCCGGCAGCAACCTAGCTTTCCCATGTAGTCTCCCATCCAGGTACTGACCGGGCGCAGCCCTGCTTAGCTTCAGCGGGCGACCATGTGAGAGTTGCAGAGAGCTAGCTGCCGGCAATTCCTGTGTTTCAATGCGACTCCAAGCGATACTTCCAGGTTTCATCCCACCTCGATTTCGCTGTGTTAAATGGCGGCTGCGTGAAATCAGTCTATGTTTTAAAGAGTCTTGAACACCTTGGTTAGTTGTGTTTGATTAGGTTTGGAGCAAAACTGCAGAGCTGCAGGACCTGACTTTGACACCTATGATCTGAAGTGAATTCATAAACTGGCATGCGTTGGTCACACTTTATATTAAGTTCTTCGTTTAAGATGATTGTGTTATTAATTGATTAATTTGCTATGCAAATGTATGTACGAGCTGATATCAGTGGTTTGATGCTGTTCTCATTTTATAAATGTGTAATTGCTGCTTCATTACGTGTATAACAAAAGACAAATGGGACGACTTAATCTAAAGTGTTACCTTGTTTATTCAAAGAAGTACTGAAAAGAACCTTAAAATCCTCTGGAAATAAATGCGATCTTCCACACACAGTCTATGCGTCTGCCTTTGACACGGTGGCTAAAGATACGAGACAAAATATGAACATGAAAGACGAAAAATTGCTCAAAAGAGAAAGTAAATGAGAAAGTTTCACACTGTGCGAGCCGATATTTTGACACGTGTTGCTAGAAGCAAGAGCAGATTGGTGAAGCTCATGAAGCCAGTCATTGTACACCCCAAACTCAGAAGAAGATTCAATCATTTGATGATGTGATATCTGACAAAACATCACGAAAGGATTTCTGCAATGGTTTTGCGCTCTATTACAGGCTGTCTGCGGGCGCTTAAGTATTAAAAGTCATTTGAGAGAAATTGACGTGCTTAATTTAAGTCTTAAATGCTATTTTAAAAGGTATTTAATTTTTTATCTGTGTGCTAAAGTTTGTTGTATTTAATCTACGAATATGAGGATGCTGTGCATAGATATTCACATTAGATGTCGCCTATGCTGCTGTTGTTGTGTATTGGAAGGAATGTGTCAATAGAGCCGCCATTTTGGTACAGGGTAGCGCTCCTTTGAAATTGAATGTGGAACCAAGGAGCAGTGGCGGACTGGCCATCTGCAGCCAGAGATATATACACATATGCAGTTAAAGTCAGAATTATTAGCCCCCCTGAATTATTTATTTTTTCCCTAATTTCTGTTTAACGGAGAGCAGATTTTTTTAACACATTTCTTATCATAACAGTTTTAATAACTCATCTCTAATAACTGATTTATTTTCTCTTTGTCATGATGACAGTAAATAATATTAGACTAGATATTCTTCAACACACTTCTGTACTGCTTAAAGTGACATTTAAAAGGCTTCACTAGGGTAATTAGGCAAGTTATTATGTAGCAATGGTTTGCTCTAACTTGTTGGACTATCGAAGGAAACTATAGCTTAAAGGTGCGAATAATTTTGTCCCTAAAATGGTGTATAAAAAATTAAAAACTGCTTTTATTTTGGCCGAAATAAAACAAATAAGACTTTCTCCAGAAGAAAAAATATTATCGGACATACTGTGAACATTTCCTTGCTCTAATAAACATAATTTGGAAAATATTTTAAAAAGAAGAAAAAAATTCAAAGGATAATAATAATTAATAATAATTCTGACTTCAACTGTATGCAGGGCTGGGTATCGAGTTCGATACTTTTTAAGCACCGACCAAATCGTTTCGATTCTAATGAGAATCGAAAAAATCATTTTTGTTCGGTACCAAATTTCGATACCTGGGGGTATAATCTTATCACCATCAGTGAGCTAGATTCCTGCGGCATCCTTAACATGCCCGAATCAAAAGCTGGTGATTGGCTGCAGCGAGGCTGTCTTGAAAATCAAAAGTTCACGGCGGTTACGCCCACTCGCCCAGATCTTGTCAAATGTGAGGCTGTAATGTGTACACGATTTAAAGCACAGCATAGATTTAGCGCAAACGATGTTTAAGAGATCAAAAATGTGGCCTACATTATGCAAAGATTGCCGACAAAGAGCGAGTGTTTGTGTGCATGTGAATGTATTATCCTCCCTCCCTGTTAAATTTGGTCTAATCCCTGTGCGGAAACACATCTCCTCCTTTCACTTCCAGTTCTAACGAAGGGAGTGATTCGTTTGTAGATGAATCTTCGTTATGAACACAATGTAAATTATCTAGATTCCTGCGCCTCGATGTGCATATCCACTTTTCTGATCTATCGTTATCCTGTTAACGTGCTGAAGTTTATTTATAAACTAATTTGGAGAGGATCATGTGCTTATGATTGATCACAGCCGGTCCTGCATTCTCCAATTTATGATTGACCAATCAGATGATTCCTAAGCCACTATAAATACCCTCAGTTCCATATCACAGACATCTTCATTTTGAAGAATCCCCCTCCCACCCCTACTCCTCCTCCTTTCATAGATGGGTGGCCTAGTGGTTTGCCTCACAGCAAGAACGTCACTGGTTCTAGTCCTTACCCAGCCAGTTGACGTTTCTGTTTACACGTTCTCCCCGTGCTCATGTGGGTTTCCCCCTGGGTTTCCTCCCACCATCCAAAAACATGCAGCTTAAGTCAATTAACTAATCCAAATCAGCACCATAGACATGTTCCTAGTCTGTAGTTATCTCTTAAAAGCAATCGCTACCTGTTCATGAGCTACTACAGCAGGGGAGTTCTCCAGATCTACCTGAGCTCAAACTCCCCTCTCGCCCTGCAAACGGGAGGGAGCCCCGAGCTCTAGTATCTAGTATCCTCCCGGGACAGCATGCCAGACAAGCTTTATAATCAATCATCAGCTGAGTGTGAACTCTTGAATTTATTTGGGCTGAATTTAAACGACATTGATTAGAATTACTACATTGAATTAGTTTAAATGCAGCCCATATACATGGTGTTGTTTAGTAGTGTACTCGTTAATAACATAGTGCTCATTCTATTCAGTTTACTTTAGTTTTGGGGTGTTTTCATGAGTCGGACTTGCTTTATGAGATTCACCTGACAATTAGTGCGGTGTTTTACTCAAATGTTCGTCAGTAACTGCGTGAACGTCTACTGTAAACAACCAATCAGCAACACAATTCAATAAAATAAAATAATAATCCTATCATAGTTTGTTTTTCCTGGTTGAATGATAATGTCATCGTTATTAGTAGTGTTTTTTCTTCGTTAGGTACCGACATTTAAATGGATTGGTTTACTTCTTATCAGGACACGGTAACGGCCGTATCAACAGTATGAAAACCCCACCGGCACGCTAGTTAGCCTACTAGCTCATGGTGATTATACACGTTGTTGTTGTTTTTTCAGTTTTTCTATATTTTCCACCCACACACACATCATTGGGAATCTAAAAGAATAAAAATCCCTGAAATCCTGATCAGAAAGCACAGGAAAGGAAAGCACTGTCAACCAAAAGAGTAATAATGTACTGTCACACGCTGAGAGCCGAAGCATGACAGAGGTGTTTTCTTTTTTAGAGAGAGAGAGAAAGATGAACAAATGTCTGTGGGTGCGAGGTCTCAGTCGGGGGGTCTGGATCTTTGTGGAAGATCCCTCATTTTCACCACAGACTCGCTCCTGCTTCTGCTTTGGCGTTTAGTTCGTGTGTTTGGCAGCGATGGGAAAGCCGGTGTTTCTGTGTGATGGTTTTCTGCGTTCATGTCGACGGCAGACGGAGATTTCTTCGGTTTTGTAGACTCAAGTAAAGTGCGGCATTCGACTGCAAGTTCTGAAACACAAGAAGACGTGCGTAAGAGTTCTGCTTGGGGGTTTGCAATCAGAAAATGCCATCGTAATGGAAATCCATGGGGCAAAAAAAGCCCCCAACATAATGAAAGGGGAGTCAATTTGAATGTATTGAGTTTTCAAAAAAATCCAAACATTTTCCCAAAATATGTGTCAAAATAAGGTTTTTCACCAAAAATCATCTCATTTGCTGAAACAGAGAGAAAGTTGTGGCCTAATTATGCTTTAAAAATCAGCCCGGAGTGCATGAAAACATCCCCAATAGAATAACATTTAAAAGATTATAAACTAAGGTAAATAGTGACATTCTTATCCACAATTGCAAGTATGGGACGGCTAAATTGATTGAAAGGTTAAAGTTTTCCATAAATTATAGTAACAGGATTGAATGGTTGAGCATTTAGAAAATTATACTTCATTTTTAGTTACAGGTTACTAACATTTTTTCAAAATATCTTCTTTTTCCAAGAGGAAAAGCTATCAAGAATGCATGATTACAGAAAAGCTAGTCCATGCTTTTATGACCTCTATGCTGGATTACTGTAATGCTCTGTTTGCTGGCTGCCCAGCATCCTCTATTAACAAACTCCAGCTCGTACAAAATGCAGCAGCCAGAGTTCTTACCAGCTCTAGAAAATATGATCATATCACCCCATATTTATCCTCCTGACACTGGCTGCCTGTTCAGTTCCGTATTGATTTTAAAACATTGCTTCTTACCTATAAAGCTTTAAATAATCGAGCTCCTGTTTATCTAACCAACCTTCTGTCTCGCTACAATCCAACCCGCTCTTTAAGATCTCAAAACTCAGGGCTTCTGGTAGTAACTAGAATAGCAAAGTCCACTAAAGGAGGTCGAGCCTTCTCATTTATGGCTCCCAAATTTCTAGAATAGCCTTCCTGATAACGTCCGAGGCTCAGACACACTCTCCTAATTCAAAACTAGATTAAAGACCTGTCTGTTTAGTAAAGCACACACTCAGTGCAGCACTTAGTGGTATGATACATGTACATATACTCTATTTCCACCTGGGGATAATCATCCCGAGGCCCTCAGACTATGCAGGGCCACTGATTCAATCCAAGACCAGCGACGAGATGATCCCAAGGTTTCCATAATCTTGGTCCAGGCCGTATCCTGAGCAGCTGCTGTGGTGGTCATGGAGGAGTGGAGAGCATGAGACTGATTCCTGAGTCTTTGCTGAGCTCCAGCATTCTCCAGCCTCCGGCACTTAAACTGCAGCTCTGCATAAGACGTTTGGCCAGTGGAGAATTGGTCGTCCCCAACTTAGCCTGGTTTCTTTTGAGGTTTTTTAATTCTTCACTTTCACCAGTTGTAGTTATTTCCTTGCCGCTGTTTCCACCGGCCTGCATGGTTCGGGATCTATAGAGCTGCGCATCCATGGATTTGCTCTTCAGTGTTTGGACTCTCAGTAGTGATTATTAAACCACACTGAACTGAGCTAAACTGAACTGAACTTAAACTCTGAAAACTGAACTACACTGTTTACATTCGCTATGATCTTCTATGTGAAGCTGCTTTGACACAATCTACATTGTAAAAGCGCTCTACAAATAATGGTGAACTGAATTGAATCTGTTCAAATATATCATTTATAAGGTCTGGACTGCATTTCCATTCTTCATTTCATGCAATTTCATTCCTTTCCGAGACATGCAATCAACATTCAACAAAATGGCTCTATAAGCATTTCAGAGGACGGATTGGAGTGTCGGGGTTTGAGTGTGAGAGGTCACTCTGACATGCAGCAATAACCATATTTACCGCTTACGTGGCCTTTGCTACTTTCGTGCGTTTCATCCTTTTCCTCCGCATGAGGGTGACCTGAGGCCTCTTCAAGCCCGCGATGAGCAGCAGCAGTCTGGGTCGGGACTTGGTGAGCCAGCTTCTCAGTAGCGTCCCCTTGGGAAACCTGTAGGAATACAGCAAAACCCTTCAATAAACCTTCCTCCCCATTCTCCTCCTTTACCATAGATCGGCCGGCATGGCGGCCCAGTGGTTAGCACTGTTATCCCCACAGCAAGAACACTGCCGGCCCTGATCCTGCCAGGCCAGTGGGTGTTTCTGTGAGGAGTTTGTATGTTCCGCTTGGGTTTTCCCCGGGTTCTCCAGATTCCTCCCACCATCCAAAGATATACACAATGCATAACATAAACAATGCTCCCTTCTTCTCACATGTTCCCTTAGCTACTGCAGCCGGGGAGTTCTGAGATTCACCGAGCTCAAGCTCCCCTCTCGCTCTACCAATGGGAGGGAGCCCTGGGCTCAGGATGGATCATGAGCTAAGTGTGCACTCGTGAAGGCCAATTTAGTTCATCAATTCCTCTATAGCACATGTGTTTGGACTGTGGGGGAAACCAGAGCACCCAGAGGAAACCCACGCCAACACGGGGAGAACATGCAAACTCCACACAGAAATGCAAACTCATCCAGCCAGGACTCAAACCAGCGATGTTCCTGCTGTAACACCCCATTCACACGGGGCTTCAGCGTCAACGCTTCCCATTCACTTTGAATGGGTGACGTCAGGCGTTGTCGAACTGCATTGTGGATCCGTCGGTGTCGCTTCAGAGGCGTTGCTCGCTGCAGAAGTTGGGAATAGCTCAACTTTTCAAGCGTCAGCCAATCAGATCGCTGTATGCAAATACACCAGCTAGACAGTGGCCTATTGCTGACTGAATTTCATTGGCTGACGCTGCTATGACGATCGCTTTAGCTTCAACTTCAGACACGCCTTCAGTCAAGCGTTGATGCTGAAGTCCTGTGTGAATGGAACGTAAGGCGACAGTGCTAACCACTTATTAATTTTTTAAGATAGGATTTTAAGTCGGGTTTAATTGTGTGGAATGGAGATTTAAAAGGACAGTTCACCCCCAAAAATGATCTTTATTCATCCTCCACTTGTTTCAAACCAACGCAATCTCATGACAATTCGTAACTTTTTGATTTAGTGGTTAATTCGTATGAATTCGAACGATCTAATTCGTACAATTTAGTACGTTTTGCTCATCACCCAATGACGGTTGGGGTTAGGGGTGGGGTTGGGGGCCACGCCTCCTTTTTAAAATCGTACATTATCGTAGGACTCAACTCGTATGAGTTAGCCACTGACGAAACGTAAAATACTTACGTTTCATCGTGAGGTCAGGCTGTTTTAAACATGTTTGAGTTTCTTGAGATATACTGAAGGATGCTGGGAAAAATGATTGCCACAGTATTTTTGAATGGCTGCTTTTCCTAACATTCTTCAGAAAATCTTGTTCTGTTTTTCTTTTTAGTTGAAGAAAAAAGTCAAAGTGGATGACGCAGTGGTGCAGTAGGTAGTGCTGTCGCCTCACAGTAAGGAGGTCACTGGTTCGAGTCTCGGCTAGGTCAGTTAATTTCTTTTTTTTAGACCGAGCTCCCGACTCTCTGTGGTGGTTAAAAATCCCAGGATGTCCTTCGAAAAGTGTAGGGGTGTTAACCCGGGCATCCTAGCCAAATCTGCCCACTGGCCTCAGTCCATAATGACCTCCTAACCCTCCCCATATCACAACTGGCTTCATCTCTCCGTCTCCTCTCCACCTATCAGCTGGTGTGTGATCTGGCGCGTCATCCAGGTGGATGCTGCACACTGGTGGTGGATGAGGAGATTCCCCCCATTGTGTAAAGCGCCTTGAGTGCCCAGAAAAGCGCTGTATAAATGTAAGGAAATATTATTATTATTAAATCCTACCCCTTAGCCCTTCCCCTTACCCCTTGTTTTGTTCACGCCAAGGGGTAGTGGTGTCCCAATTGTCTTTAACTTGAAGGTGTAGGGCTAAGCAGAAGGGGTGAATACCCCTTTGATTGGAGATTTTCCAGGACCACACTAGAAACCAAGGGCTAAGAAAATTTCCCAGAATACACCAGCCACAACGGCAGTATTGCTGAACCCGGAAATAAGGAGATCCACAAATTACTATATTTTGTCAGTGAATTTTTACAACAAACAAGCAGATGTTTTAATATATTCATAACCAGTTATTCATGTTTAAGCAGTCCCACAATATTTTGACAGTCGATGACACTCAAATACCCTGTCAGTAATGTCTAGTGGCTGGCAGGGGCACAACTGCACATTTACTGAGGGGTATGTAGGTTTGAGTTCTCAAATAAAAATATTTAAAATGAATTATGCATCTATATGATATATATATTGATAAATTTATAAAAACATGAATACAGTATAAACAATGGATCTTGATAGAGGGATTAATAAACATTTCAGTTCCAAAACATGTGAATATTGTGACTGTTCACGTGTCAGTTTACAGCCTAATTTACATATCTCACGATCTGAATGATAATAATAAATAAGAAGTATTGTTTTAATACTCGACAACACTTGATGTTTCTATCTCTGTCAGTGTCGTTTATATTGGAGTACATTCTCTGAGTGCTTCTGTCACTGTGTTCAATCCTTTCTGTGCAAGACTGTAAGGTATGGTTAATGCCACACAAACTGTAAAGTGTTTAATATTGGTGGTTCATTTTGAAATAAAAATTGCGGAATGTTCATTAAGAGTAACATTTTCTGCTGGAGGACACAGCTGTGCCGATGAGGTGAACGCCGAGAAAACCCGACTGCTCCTCTGTGACACTGAGATACAGGTGATACAAGGTTATCAATATCACAGAACTGCAAATAAGCAGATAGTATAACAATTTATCAATAGACACACACCTCGCTATCTCAATGTCCACAGATGTGGTTTAACGATCAAGTGAAAAACAAAGCCGAATTCTGCTGCCATTTTTATAACAAATTTAAAGGGGACTGAGAAGATAATTTAGGGTGCTTTCACATCTGTAGTTTGCTTCATTTAGTCCGCACCAAGGCCAATAAATGATACATTGTTGCATCTTCTGCCGTCTTTGGGTCATTTTCACACCACACTGCTGGCTTTGGTCCGAACCAGTTGAAACAAACCAAAATGCAGTCATCTGACAAAATCCACATCTCTCATTGGCCAGATGTTGTTGAACATAGTTCCTAAACTGCTTATCGATTGGTCAGAATTCACGTGCGGGAAAATGTCAGTGAACTCCCGCAGGTAAACAAAACCGGCAGACACAAAATGTCGATTTTACTCTGGAGGGACGACTGCGCTGCTGATTGTGCGCCTGCTTTAGACAAACTATACATTTCAAGAATGAAGCGCGGCCGCGGCTGGAAAACAGTGTTTAATGCATCGCTCGTCACTTCAGGAGGAGGCGTGAGTTAATTTAGCTAAACTGCGACATGCTCATCTTGCGGAAATATTACCAATGATCCATCAGGTAATGTTTTCCCTCTCTCTCTCTCTCTCTGTTGGTAAAGCGCTGTCAACTAATATTTTCCTCCATATCCCATAATGCACAGCGCATCGGCCTACGGCAGCTGGATTAGTCCAAAAGGCGCAGTACTGTTTGTGGTTGTACCTGTTTTAGTACGGATCATATTCTCACCACAAACAAACCGCTCCAGGGTTCGTTTGAAAGCGTACTGAGACCACCTCTTCAAGCAGGTCTCAGTACGCTTATTTGGTCCGCTTTTGGTGCGCACTCGAGTACGATTGCTGCATTCAGACCTGCCCAAACCAACCGCACCAAAAGGGGAAACGAACTCTAGTGCGATTCAATCCAACTAAATAAGGCAGGTGTGAAAGCACCCTAAGTGTACAGTTGATGAGCTAATCGCAAAAGTTTTAAGGGGGCTGAGTAGAAATATAGGGGAGCTACAGCCCCCTATATTCACCTACACCAAAACACAAAGATCAGATAATTGGCGCATACCAAATGTATTAACACAATGAAGTTAAACAGCACGGAACTGAATGTGCTGTAACTTACTGAACACAGCCAAGTATGTATTTCTCCCTGTATAAAGTTATTAATCAACATTTTTTCAATGTAGTCCCATCACCAGATTACTTAATACTGTATACTCCCCACTGTACACATTTATAAACATAACTTAAGTAAAGAGAAAGTAAAGAGGCTGAATGGAGGAGGCTCGTTCTTTATCCTCGTGCTGCAGATGCTCTGTTTAACTGTTTTCTCGCTAGTGAAGCCTTCAGTTTTTACACTTACAAAGTCGTCATGTAAATAATGAATGCACCTGACGCAACTGACTCTTAAAGGGAATGCGAGACGAGACTCTGATTGGTTTAATGCAGGTTCTGCTCATAAACACACCCAGAACACATTCAGAGAATCAGCACAACCCTGTTAGACCATGCACAGTGGCGTAAAGCATATTTTTCCATCCTCATTCATTAATTTTCTTGTCAGCTTAGTCCCTTTATTAACCCGGGGTCGCCACAGCGGAATGAACCGCCAACTTATCCAGCAAGTTTTTTTTCACGCAGCGGATGCCCTTCTGGGAAACATCCACACAAACATTCAAACACAAAGCTTTGAGATAAGGTTTACTTTATGCAAGTGTATTCATTTAGAGTGGTTATCCAGCCTGATCTCACGAGAAAACAAGTATTTTACGTTTTGCCAGTTTAGTGGCTAATTCGTACGAGTTCAGTCGTACAAAATTGTACGATTTTAAAAAGGAGGCGTGGCATCTAACTCCACCCCTAAACCCAACCATCATTGGGGGATGAGCAAATCGTTCGAAATGGTACGAATTAGATCGTACGTATTCAAACGAATTAACCACTAAATGAGAACGTTGCGAATTGCCGTGAGATTGTGTTGGGTTATCCCAGAATAAAGATGTTAGGGGCTATTCAATAATATATAATTATAATTATAATAATATTAAACAAGTTGTTATATTATTTGAAAGTAAATAAATATTTTTAAATGTATTTATAATAATTATTTTAAATGTATATAATTAAAATATATATATAAATATTTAAAATATATATAAAGTCAAGCACATTGTGTCTTTAT